ATTCTGCACTTACACGTGTGTTTAATTTGTTCGGGTTGTTTGTTGATAGTTTTACGGTTGTGCCTTTTTATTATTTATGCCATGTTTCGGTGCAACTGTAGCTGATTTTTACAGTTTCTTTTATTGATTATTTGTGTAGAGTGCTTGATTCCGAGAAGTGTTTGTTTAAAAGTCTGAAGAATATTTTACCTACGTTTGTTTTTACGATTTTACTATACGGTGGGTAGAACTATATGATATTTCTTTTCCTGTTGGCCCTTATTTGTGCTCTGTAGCGAGTACGTGAGCGTTGCCGGGTATCCACTATCTTTTAAGGCTGTTTCGTACTCTTTCTTTGCTTCTTTAAATATGGATTTGTTGCAAGAATTGTCGGAAAGCCTGCGGTTAATCGATTTTGGTATCTGTTTGATTATCAGAGGCGAGTGATTAGAGGATGTGTGTATGTACAGTGATTTATCATAGGTTTTTCTGTATAGTTTATATGTGCCTCTTCTTAGGTTGAAGGTAACATCTAGAAAATCTACTTCGTTTACGTTAGTTTTTATATCTATGTCAAATGCGTTATTTTTTTTAATCCTTAATGCTTTTCTAGCTTTGTGTGTGTTTTGCTTGTTGTAGTTTCTTACGATTATGAGATCGTCGTCTCTGGAGAGTCATGTATCATTTTTATCTATTATTTCACATAGTTCATGTAGTAAATATATACTGCACCGTTAAAGCTCCCCATTGTAGTGTCAAAGATCCCTTCTTTCTTTATCCATGCGTCTTCATTGTGGAATAGTAGTGATTTTTGGGAGTGTTTAATGATATCGATTTCGGTTTTGTTTCTTTTTATTTGTTCCTGGGCCATATCTATCTATCTATCTATCTATCTATATATATATATATATATATATATATATATATATATATATATATATATATATATATGCGTGTGATGTATCAAAAATACTTTTACAAAATTTTGGAGCGGTTATGTCCGCAATTCCTTCGTTTTCTTCTTCTTTTTTTATTAAATTCCAAGTTTATGGTAGATGCTGTTAAATGTATAATCCAAGAAACAATCCAAAAATAATTCTTCCATAGTTTGTAGTGCCACGGATCCTGTCTCGGAAAATCGACGATGAACAGCAGCAATGTTTGGATGACTCGGCCTACTTCGGTCTGAAAACGCAATCTGATACAGACGTACAGCCTGCTGCAGACATAAATTCGCATATAAAAATCATCAGCGTGCTTACGATATGAATAACCTACCATTGTTAGGCGGAACACTTCTCAGTTAACTAGCTTCTACACTCATTAATCATTGAAGACAGACAAGGCATAAATGTACACGAATGAAAAATGTAACCTAGTCTAAAGGCAACACAGCGCTATTTACGACAAACTATCATTAAACTTAATAACTTCAAAATGAAGGATTTGTGGATCTATATATATATATATATATATATATATATATATATATATATGATTTGAACAATAAAAATATTGAGAAAAAAAATTAAAATTTTCAGACACACTAAGTTGTATATTAACATTTTTTGTTTTATTATTACAATTAGATTACTTCAGCTAGAATAGTTATCATCAAGAGAAAAAATTCAGCTTCTGATTAGCATATATATATATATATATATATATATATATATATATATATATATATATATATATATATAAATATGTATGTATATAAATACATACATACATATACATATGCTACATTTTATATATATTATTTATATATTATAATTACGCGGTACTTATTGGAAAGCGCTCAATATCAGTGATCGAGGTAACATATTTAGTTGGATAACAATCCAACATATTATATATATATATATATATATATATATATATATATATATATATATATATATATATATATATATGGTGAACTGCATAACTTAGTGAAGTGTTAGGTTTCTTGTTTTTGATCAACACATTCTGATCGTATGGAAGTGTGAAATTGCCAGCCGCAATACAAAGGTTGATTCCTTTTGACCACACTGTTTATATCTGTAAATGCTCTATGTTGACTTTCACCACCTTTTCTGCATAAATAGGCTAAAGTTTAAACAGTTATATTTCTGATCAGGCCCCCTTTTCGGATGCAGTGTTGGCATGTAAGAATTGACATAAAACTGGTGCGTCGAGTTTGCACGTGGGTTTCGAATTTGAAAACACGGACATTTTTCTCCAAACTTTTCCGTGCACGCGCATGCACAACCTTATACCAGAGAAGCAGTATTGGCTTAATAAAATCTGCTGATTGTCTCGAACAAAAGCCAAATTTCGCTGGTCGGTGCTTTCTTCAATAGGCACTGTCTTCTGGTCTATGTTGATATATTATTAAATAGAGCATTATGTCCTCGTTAAATAAGAAATTCACTTTACGTTGTCATACTGTTCGGCTATCACCTCCTTTTTTTTCCTTCGCTCAATCTTTCTTTCTTTCTTTCTTTCTTTCTTTCTTTCTACCTTTCTTTCTTTCTTT